GCGAATTTTGGGAATGATGAGGGCAACAAATGTATAGATGTACTTTACACAATTGATCTATGTATTGTGATGAATTGTATGAGCCCCAATAAATTCATTAAAAAAAAAAAGAAATAAATAATAACACAGGCCAATAAATAAATAAATAAATAAAGTGGTCAAAGCATTCCCTCAAAGACAAAGAGGGGCTATAACAGGCTATTTACATATCATTTACATAGTATGCATGAGCCCTGGTGGCTGGGTGGTTAAGTACTTGGTTGGTAACTGAAATCGTGAAGGTTCAACCCCACCAGCTGCTCCACAGGAGAAAGATGTGAGAGTTTTCCTGGTACTGATTCAACGCCTGGCAAGTCCTGATCCATTGGTCCACTATGAGTTGAAATCAACTTGATGGTTGTGAGTTTGGTTTAATATTATAGTAGGTATTATAAGAAATCTGTCTTGGAGAAAGTACAGCCAAATTGCTCCTTAGAATGTAGGCTGGCGAAACAAGTCAGGATGGCCGAGTGGTCTAAGGTCCTGCGTTCAGAATGTAGGATGATGAGACTTGGCCTAGCATATTTGAAATATTATCCAGATGTCCCTGGAAAATGACATTATACTTGGTAAAGTAGGGTCAGCAAACAAACAAAAAAAGCCCCAGTGAGATGGACCAGCACAGTGCCTATAACAATGGGTTCAAACACAACAACTGTGAGGATGGTGCAGGAGCGGGCAGTGTTTTGATCTGTTGTACTTAAGGTAGCTATGATTCAGAACCAACTCAACGGCACCTAACAATGATTCAAAGTTTATGGGAGGATCTGTTATAGGTTATATGTAAATACTATACCATTTTACATAAGACACTTGAAGATCCATTTACATCCAAGGGAGTCCTGGAACCAATCCCCTAAGAATAAGGAAGGATGATTATACACTAATTAGAACCTATAGTCTGCATCCACACTTCATTTAACATAGAGGAAAATCAGAAGGGATCAGCTGGTACCTTCTGTATCAGAAAGAAGGCCAAGGTGACAGCTCTCTTGGACTAGAACTTCTAGATTCAAGAAATCCATTGGAAATAGAACCCTATGCTGTGGCTGGTCTTTCTTGAAGATGCTATGGATTCTAGAATTACCATCTGAATCTCAGATCTGTGGCTTGTAAATTAATCTTATCTTTCATTCCGAAGTTCCAATGTCTGACATCTTTCCCTCCTGCCATTTCTCTGTAATCAGGTTATAAGGTGAGAGGGAAAAAGAGATATTAGGGAAAATATTGCCCCATTCCAGGGTGAACTGAGGATGGGTACAGAAATAAAGGCAATTGAGGGAGTGGGGAACAGGAGTGGCATATGTGTGGGAGGGGTATGTGTGTGTGTGCATGCACAGTTATCCACCTGATCAAAACAGGAAGAATTCAAATCATCAGAAGAGCACAAAGTCACATGGGACCCATAATCCAGACAGACTCAGCCCCAGAATGAACTCAACACCAAATAGACTCTGCCTTCTAAACTCCCGTAAAGTCACATTTTCACATCACAAAGTTAGAAAAACCACCACCAAATTAATGTTGCAATGGCAGACCATCCAGTTACACACAGCGAATATACACAATTGCACAGACACGCCAGCACATCTGAACACTATGATGGGGGCACACAGCCAACAAACACCTTTTCACAATGGCACTTTTACTCCACAGTCACAAGCAAACTCCAGCAATGAACACGGCACACACACAATCCCATAGTTACACAGAATCCTCAGTCATCTGACGGCTCAGACAGACGCAGATAAACAAACCCATCACCAGGATAAAAAAGTTACTAAGCGGTTGCAGCATCATACACGTCAGTCATGGATAAAATCCTGTGATGCACAAGGCTCATAAATAGCTCCTGAGCGACTTAAGTCCATCCAAGCACAGTCACAACAGCAGTTAAACACCTCACACAGACACACAAGCCGATCCTAGTAGACGGGTACCTAGTCAATAAATACCCTGCAACAGCGGTACTGTCGCACTCAAAGTCAAACGCACGACCCCCCCACCAAGGCTCACACAAAGGCCCCCATTCGCACACGGCCAGTCGTCCCTACGTCTCCTGTGCGATTTCACCCTGGCACTCAAGACACCTCACCTCAGCCGCGCGGGGCCCAGGATCCCTGCCCAGCATCCAAGCCCGATCCCCGGGGCCACCAGGACTGCAGAGCCCAGAGCGGCCCCCAGAGCAGCCCTCTTCCCACCGGAGGGCTCCGGATCGCGCGGATACCCGGGAACGAAGACGCGCTCCCGGTGCGGGTGCCTGGGAAATGTAGTCCAAGGCCTGGAAAGCGGCGCGAGCCGCCGGGATGCTGGCACGCGCCGTGACTTCTGTTCCTCGAAAGCCCCATACCTGTGCCCTGGAAGCCGCGGGCCCTCGCCAGCGCCCCGGAGACTTCTGGGGTGCCTGTCCGTGCTCAGTA